TTTTAGTATCAGCTCAATGAAAATGAATGTAATTCACTTTAATATTTTTGCAACCTCGCTGCTGTAATGTAGCATGCAGATTAGTGTGATTTTTCAGAGGATCGATTTAAAGCCCAATTAGTTAGACGCATCATGATAAAACCTGAGTGTTCTGTCATTGTCCTGGAATTGCATTAAACACAGTGAGGCCTACACACACTCTGCAAAAAATACTCACATATTACTCAGTCACACATATCAAATTTTCTATATAACACACTTTTTTAAGTGTACTTTTGTTTATATCGTAAGTGACTACAGCTAACATCCAACTAATTCTCATACTCCACCTACATAAGATTTGCATGTATTAACAAATGTGTGTGTGTGTATGGTGCACAGTCTGTGTGTCTGTGTGTATCAGTAGATGTTTTTGTTTGTTTTATGGGCCTGCTGACTGTCAGGCAGAGGCCCTGCCATGATTCATGGGTTATTACAGTTCCGCTGTAGCATGCACAAGCCATAGCTCATCATCAGATTGCATTCATATACGTCACACCACAACATGCACGTACACTTGTCCTCATGCTCACTCATATGCATATACACACATACTGAACACCTGCTGGCACACACATACACACACACACAGGAATGAATATATGGATGTCTGATATTGAGAAAGAGAGGCGAGGTGGGGGCAACTTGGAGGAAATTGATCTTTTGCTCAAGATATATCACCAATGGACTATGTGCTGGCGGTGGGGCATATTAATGCTGTTGTATGACTAGTTAGAGTAGGCAGAGGCAGACACAGCACAGCGTAGGGGATCTCCATCACGCTAGAGAGAGAGAGAGAGAGAGAGAGATGGAGAGAGAGAGAGAGAGAGAGAGAGACACCGAAAGAGAGCGTTTCTGAGCACTTACAGTGGAGGATGTTGTGTTTTTCTCTGCTGCTGCAGACAGTAGGTGTAGTCATCCATATCCGGGGCCCCTCAGAGGTCTGAAGGTGCGTGGGAGGTGATACAGTATATCTGGAGTTTAACCGGACTCCTCTTGAGGCATCTATGTGTTTGAGTTTGCAGCCCACTGGTCCTCAGTGGAAAAGGTTCTATACTTTATACTCCTTAACATAAATCTTCCATTATGTATACACAAAGTGTCTGGACTACATGGTTTAATGAAGTGTGAACTTTATTAAGTAAAATAATTTAGTTGTGCACTAGCAGCTAGCTGGGTATTAGTATGGGAATATCAGTCGATCTGAGATCTCACTGCCTACCAATTGTCCAGGGGATTTCTAAATGCAAAGTGGTGGCTTGAATGGTGGCAAGAATGTCCACTAACAAATGTATGCCCCTTACTTTAAGGAGGGACAGTATCGCCTTACCTGAAACGTTGATGTTCACCCACTCTCCTCTGTATTGAAACAAACTGTAGATATAGCAAATAACGTTGTAACATGGAGAGAGCTTTTTTAAAACCTTGAAAATGGATGTCCCGAGCAACGTTATATGGTACAATAGTGTTTACAAGCACAAGCAGTGCTGTCAACACCCTAAAGACCTCAAATTGGTTCTGCAATGTATGTTTTTTTCTGAACACTCTCATTGTTTCCACCCAGTTTTAGCATTGAAAGCTTGGAGATAGTCCTCAGTGTCTATTGAGCGAAGCATTTAGAGAATAGCTTGTGAGTCCAGCTGGGGATCAGTCAAGTATATTGACAGGCAACTAATGCTAGCAGAATGTAAACAGTAGTAGGAATTCCCCAGTTAAACTTTAAACATGTATCAATATTTTATGCAGTTTTTATGCATTACATTCAGTAGACATTCTGAGGGGGGATGAGGGAAGACGTCATCCCCCTAAAAATTACTAAAATGCATGCACCTTAACCTGCCACCCCCCCACCTCCGTCCCCTAAGTAGTAGGGCCAGAGGGGGTTGTTTAGTTCAGTGTTTTACAAATAGGGGTACATGTCCCCTTAGAGGTACTTTGGAATACTGCAGGGGGTATGTGAGATTTGCATGCAAGATAATTATACCATAATAAGTTAAATAAAAAATTAGAATGTGGGTTTGATTAATTGGTTAAAGTTCAATGCAACTTCAGTGCCGTCTTAGTGTTATTGTATGATGTCAAAAATTGATTTGCCATGAGTTTGGTGATGGATTCTTAACACTGAAATATAGCATTTAACTGTTGTTAACTGTTGTACAAGGTGGTGCTGTATTGTACCTGTTTTGAAAAGATTTCTTTTATCTACCAAATCAATCCTTTATCTGACCAAAGTATGTGCAAGTTAAGTCTACATCTCTGAAATATCAGCAGCCCCACTGTGCTGTGTATTGATACATTCATGGCGCTGTCCGTGGTGCTGAAGTAGCAGACAGATTTGCAATTGTGCCTTTTTCTCTCAGTGCTGCCATTCTGTCAGTCCGATCTGTAATATTCTCTAAACTATATATTATAGTCAATTCTTTACTATACTGTAGCCTATATACTCTATAGTGTAGTGTCGCCTTCATGATCAGAGGGACAAGTAGCAGTGTGCAGTCATGGAAGAGTGACAGTGCTGTATTCCTATGCTGAACATACTATTCTCCTAGTTTTAACTACAGGTTTAGCGCCCCCCCCCGTTAAAAATGAACAAATAACCGACTGGTTAACATACACAAGATGTTTTGTCTCTGACAGGAAGGATTGACGTTGAATTAGACATGGTGTCTTTATATGTTGCTAACTAACTTTTACAAAACCAGCTTTGGCTCATTCGATTAGTTTCAAACAGCACAGAAAACAACTCTGAAGATTTCTAATTTAGTAATCCATCACAGTGATGGATTATACACCTTCACTGTGAACAGGAACTGTTACATTTTGCATAATTGCAACGGAATACTAATATCAGACCGTTTTTTTTTTTAAAGAATGTCTTATGTCTCCACATACAGAGGACCACAAGACTTTCCGTTCTCTGCTTCTCTCATTTTTGCTCCTTCCTCTTTAAAATAACAGTTTTAATCAACATCAAGAGTCCCTGCTGGGATGTTTGTACCGTTCTGTTGATCACTACACAGTCATTCAGACTAAAAGCATGATGCCAGCTATAGCCTGTAGGATTACAAGGAAATTAAAGCCAGATTATAGACAGTTACAGCTTTAAAATACACCATTTTGAACACCTGAAGAGCATTTATTTCAGAATATTTATCTAGAAAAAAAGAATTAATGCAGTACTGGAAAACTATTTACAGTAATGTAACTGGTCATTCATACACCTAAAGCCAGCATACAAGTTACAACTAATGTAAATGCAAATATATGCAGAAAGTGCTGTTGACCAAGTGTGGCCAGTGTTCCTCAGACTGATGCTTGTGTCAGTTATATATAGGTATGAAAGTTTAATTCAGACTGGAAAAGCTGAAAAAATGTGCCACTTTCCACAGCACTGTCTGTTTGTATAGATAGACAGATAGATAGATACTTTATTGATCCCTGAAGGGAAGTTAAGGTTTCACAGCAGTTCACATCTCAAACAACGGCAGCAACAAAAATAAGGCAACAATTATAGTATAAGATAAATAAATAAAAAACATTAAGCAGACATCTTCCAAAGAAAGAAATAAATAGAGATGTACAGTCCAGTGTGATTAAACATCTCTAAGCTTGACTCTGATCACCCTGATGGAGCCAGATGGAGGTGGAGTGTGTGTGTGTGTGTGTGTGTGTGTGTGTGTGTGTGTGTGTGTGTGTGTGTGTGTGTGTGTGTGAAGGCCTTGCTCCCCTGCTAACTGAAGGTTAAACAGGACCTTCAGCTAAACCAGCTCACAGCACATCACCATGCCACCCGTGCCTGTAAGGGTGACCCTTGTGTGTGTGTGTGTGTGTGTGTGTGTGTGTGTGTGTGTGTGTGTGTGTGTGTGTGTGTGTGTGTGTGTGCGTGTGTGCGTGCGTGCGTGCGTGCAGGCATGATGAAGCGTGGCCATAGGCTCAGTCTGCCACTCCAAACAATACAGGCCATCTGCTTTGTGTCGCAGCTGCCAAACAGTGAGCCGAACCTCCACAAAGGCCTCTGTGCCTCTCGGGCTGTCTCTGCCAGCTCAGCTCTCCCTCCTCCTCCTCCACCTCCTCCTCCTCTCCCCTCCACCCTACCTACTGTATCCCTCCATCATTTATTATATTTCTATCCTGTCAAGTTGTTCTTGTCATTAGAATTTGTAGATTGAGGTTTTTAATTTAGACCAGAATTAAGGCTATCATTAATGTGTGTATTTTCATTATCTTCCATGTCCATATATTTGATGTAAAGTGGCTTGTAAACAATTTATTAAGGATAAATTCACAATCATCATATCCCTAAAAAGTTAATATGTACAAGGCACAAGAGTGGGAATCTCTTCCAGATTGTTGCCTGTGAACTTGAGTTCTTCATGGGTCCCGAAATACCTGAAAATGTACTATGCTGAACCAGTCTGTGATATTTTCATTTTTAACAGAGGGGACGACCCTAACCCTAATCCTACTGTAATAGTATTTAGTATATATTTGGTTACAGAGGTGGCTAGGTCTGGAGGTGAATCTTCTTCTTATTGTATAGTATAAGAATATACAACAATAAGATGTAAAAAGAAGTGGGAGGAGAAGGAGGGGCCAAATACGCAGCTGAAAATAGTCCCCCAACAAATGCATACACTTCCTCCTGTTTGAGTAACGTTTGTTACCACAGTGGCCAACAGTTTGAGAGAATTGCTGAGCTTTTTTAAAAGTGACTTTATGTTTGTGAGTCATTTTTAAAGATTAGCTTCCTCAGTAGGAACCAATGGGCTTGGAGCTGAGAGCCACGGACAGGGTAGGGAAGTTACTGAATGATGGACTGACACACGTTTTGGTATTTTCATGGAATTTATTTGCAATAACAAAACTCCGTGGCAGCCATCTCTTTTAGATGCTTTTTATTGCAAAGAAAACTATGAAAATAACATGTTCTATTTCTTTCCACCCCTCTCTCTCTGTCCCAGTGACAGGGTTTCCATACCCCAGTACAGGAGCAGCGGTGGCCTATAGAGGGGCCCACTTGAGAGGGAGGGGTCGCGCCGTCTACAACACGTTCCGTGCTGCACCTCCTCCTCCACCTATCCCTGCGTATGGAGCGTGAGTGCCTGCTCACACACATCCAACTGAAACAAATACACATAATCAAATAAACACTGTATGACAGGTCTCAAGACACGCTGCTGCACAAATCTAATTCAAAGCGGTACTCAAACACTGAAGCTAACAGACACACACGCACTCACACACAAACTCACACACATGCAGTAACAGGAGAATGGCGAATGGAAAACAAAAAGGCCGCCTTCTAATAGAGCAGAAAATTGCTCTTTGATTCCAGAATGGCCAAATTTGTCTCTCTTTTTCTAATGTGTCATTCTTTATTCGGCTGTGAATGGACAGCTATGACCTGCCCTGCACACTTCACTGGGCCTGCTTCAGAGGGAGCGAGAGACCTGGTGAACATGAAGGGGGAGAGAGAGAGAGAAAGAGAGCATGTTAGGGTTGAAAGGAAGAATGAGAAGAAGAGAAATGCAGATGGAGACAGAGGGAGTAAAGGCAGGAGGCTGAGAGAAGAATAATGAATGAATGGTGCAGTTTGACCACATGGAACTGCTGAATGAATCCTTTACTGTATGCTGGTAATACAAATTACTTTTCTTTTATTTAGTTTCTAACAGCAGTTTGGAAAACAAACTATTTGTGATCTTTTTTTTAAACCAAAAATTAATAAATGTCACAATTGGTTTGGATGTAGAGTAGCTTCTGTGACTGCCAGGGTCCCCATGATGAAAATTGTCCACAAGCGTCTACACTGCCCAAACATCTGTTGTTTTTTATGCCTCCTCAAGATAGCACGGTGAAGGCCTCTGCAGTTGGTACAGGAGCTTCAAGCGTGCACAGGGGCTTTTATGGTTTGCATACTGTCTGAGGCTGTGTTTTCTGAAACACCAGGCAGCAGTACAGACAAAATATCATGTAGCGAACATGCAAAACATGGCGGTGTTCATCACACAAATCCTCAGTGCCGAGTGGATGCTTGTGTTCACGTTTGATAACGAGAGAAAAGTACATCTGCACAGTACATCAAGACACTTCTCCCTCGTTTATGCAGAGCCTACATTCTGTTGTAAAAAAGGCTAACAGGAAGTTATTTGCATACTAAAGAGCTACAGCTTTGTGCTTCGAAATGCTTTGGGTAGTTCCTCCCTACATCAGAAAGTACCTGGGATAACTGAGCATTGTGAATAATTTAAGCCAACAGCAAAAAGAAATTCTTCACTGCCCTGCCCCATGGCCTTCTCTCTGTGGGAGCTTGAATGAAGCTCCATTACAGAAAAAGGATTATGACTGTTATTATTATGCCTTTAAGCTGAGGTGGACCAAGTCATTGTTTTGCAAGTCACAAGTCTCAAATCTTTGCACTCAAATCCCAAGTCATAAACTTTGAGTTTCGAGTCCTAAACAAGTTGTAACATGTGCTTTACCAAATATGTCATTTTGAGGACAGAGTAATAATATGTTACATTTACACAAATCATGTCTTTTACAGTATATATTAGACTGAACTTAATAATTAAAAAGTGTAGTGCTGACATTGCACTTCCATAGCATATAGCACTATTAACCAGTACCACAACAGAATGAATTTCTGTCTCTTGTTGTATTTAACTCATCTCATATTAGAACAAATAATAATAGTTCTCTTCCCAAATTTGTAAGACATTTTCTGTCAGACTACAGAGGAATAAATATGATGTTATGATGTTTGTGATACACTTAAATAACACACCTTTTAAAGATTGGGCTTGGGGGACAGTATATTTTGAAGTCAAAAGGCTCTAGAGTCAATGGTGTTAAAGTGTAAGTCTTGTTAAGTGGTGTCTAAAGTCATCCAATGTGTGACTTGAGTCCACACCTCAGCCTAAAGCACACTGACTGCACATGTGCTAAAGTTTTTGTCGTGCAGTCACTAATTGAAGTCTGTACACTGTCCCTCACATTTTATGTGAAATTCCACCACACAATGTCAGAACAGACAGAACATTCATATTGTACTATTTCTTTAGAACGCCATATCACTGTTTCATTTTTTTTCCCTTCAATGCCTAAAAAAGTGTTTAATGTTTGATATCCTCTGTCAACAGTGTGGTCTACCAGGATGGCTTTTATGGGGCAGAAATATATGTAAGTCAAAACAATTCACTATGAGCAATTAAGAAAAGAGTGTATGTCTTGAGCATGTGTTCCAGTGCTTTACATAAAGTCAGTTCTTATATTTGCACGTTCAGTTTGGTGACGATCTTGTATTCCTAATGTGTTGCTGCCTTCCTCCGTCTCTCCTCAGGGAGGGTATGCAGCTTACAGATATGCCCAGCCAGCTGGTACTGCTGCAGCAGCATACAGTGACAGGTATGTTGGCGTGCCTCTTCCTTCACGTATAGATTTCAAACTCCAGTTCATCTATTCATTTAAAAATGTAAACGTGAAAACAAGGAACAGGAGGGGCGGCACACTTAGCACAGCCTTGCTCTATTTGAGCTAACAGGTCAGCATCCGGTAGAAATGATGACAGGTTTTCATCTGATACTTTGAAGCAGACCTGCCAACCTGGTCTCACTCCGGAGTCAGCAACTACTGCCGCTTGATTAGTGGCCCTCTGTTTGAAAATATGACGCTGTAGGTATCCCTGTGGTGTCATTTCTTGACACGCACGCTGTCGCAGTCCGGTGACACAGCAGAGCAAGAAAGTCCACATTTGGAGGTGGTTGGGTGGAAGGATGGCTCAAACAGACCCAGGAGACCACTGTTCATGGCCTGTGTGAAACCAAAAGTCATCTATTTACAGTAGTAGTAGTTTCTTTGCCTTAACCTAACCAACCTGTAGTTTCACAACGTTACCTAAGCTTTATTTTAAAAGTCTAACCAGACGTTACATATTTATTCTTGCTGGGCTGCAGAGCCCTGCATATCCACAAATGAAGCTAGAGGGATACCTACAGTGTCATATTTTGAAGCGGACGGCCACTGACCGAGCTGCAGTATTTGAGGAGTTGGGAGTGAGAACGTGTTGGACCTGCTCTGGCTCAGGTGAGCCCCACAGCACAGGTTACCATGGTGATATAACCCCAGTTAAACAGGAGCAAATGAACCACAAATCTTGCTTGGTGACACAGGCCGCAGGAGTAAATGTAGTCATACAGTACCAACAATCTCCACAGAGGCTCACCTGGACAGGTCATGACCAGAACCAAAGACAATTTAACATCCTGCCATGGGACTTTGGATCAGAGAGGAGTTTCATCTACTCCATCTCTCAGTTGTCATTCCCCTAGGAGCTCCCTGTCCCCCTCACCTATGATCCCTGAACCTGTGGAGCCCCCCTGCCCCTGCCCCTGCCCCTGCCCCTGCCTGTCCTCAGTCCTCTGGGAGCCTGCAGTCTGCTAGCGAGTCCTCCAGATCAGAAGTGATACATGTTTATAGAAAACTGTGTGTGTGTGTGTGTGTGTGTGTGTGTGTGTGTGTGTGTGTGTGTGTGTGTGTGTGTGTGTGTGTGTGTGTGTGTGTGTGTGTGTGTGTGTGTGTGTGTGTGTGTGTGTGTGTGTGTGTGTGTGTGTGTTGCGTGCCCCTGCTACTACTCTGTCTAGGTGTGTGTGTGTGTGTGTGTGTGTGTGTGTGTGTGTGTGTGTGTGTGTGTGTGTGTGTGTGTGTGTGTGTATGAAGGTGCTTGGGGAGCTAATCTTAGGGAGATTGAGCATGTCAGGCCCGATAAGAAACAGCCACAGCAGGAGCCTGTAGGCCTCCGATAATGTAAGATTTATCAGAGGCAAGGAGCGAGCTGCGTGCTCGGGAGAATTATGAACAGAGCAGAGGAGAGGAGCGGAGCAGGTGAGGGGGCACGTCTCTCTCCGCAAGACTTATTTCATTCCCTTTCTTTTTTCTCCTCTCATGCATTCCCTCTTTCTCACTCGCACTGTTATTCGTTCTCCCCCCATGGCTGATGTGTAGTATATCCCTCTCTCTCTCCCTGTTTCATCTTTTATACTGTGTGTCTCTCTTTCTATTTTTTAAGCTCTCCTGATTTAAAGGGAAGCCCGGGCAGTGTGGTGGAGATGGGGACAGAGGGTGGGGGGGGTGGAGGAGTTTTATTTATTGTGGATAAGAGAGGCCTTATACGGAGTAGATGGGCTGGGGACTGAGAGACACTCACACACATTAGACTAGACTACAGCAGGTAAGAGGAGGCAATCAGTACTGACCATCACATTCATCTCCATCTTCCATCAAACACCTTCCTTCCTTCCTTCCTCCCTCCATGTACGCCCACTACTTCCTTAGGTCTCCCTCTGTAGCGTGTAGTCGTGCAGCCGCGCAGCCTCTTATCTTTGCCCTCCAGACCTACATCGGCTTCCCTTTACTTTTAGAGGAGAATAAACAAACAAGACAGGAGGAGAGGAATATAAATAAAGCGGTCTGGGTGCCATCAGGGAAAGAGGGATGGAGGGGTGGAATGAGAAAAGAGAGGGGCATTGAGGGAGGGGATTAGTTCCAAGCCAGTGCTGGTGAAAAGACTGGAAATAAGCCTCAGGAGACAGAGAGAGAGAGATACAGGGTGAGATGGCACAGAGCAGAGGAGGAGAGAAGGAGGTATGGGACACCATCAGGGAAATTTTCTCTCTAAAACTCTCTCCTTCTTTCTTCCCACTCTGTGGCCCCTGATTCAACTTCTTTCTTCTAAATATTTTTTCTTTTTACAAACCTCATTCCCCATTGCCTTCTGACTCTGTTTCCCCACCCCCAAATGATGATTTTTCTCATTTTTCTCTTTATTCATAATCCTATTTCCCTCCCTTCAGCCATCTACTACTCTTATCTCTCCGCCGATTTCTTTTCTTATCTTTCTCTCTCTCTTTCCCCCCCTCTTTGGCTGACGTTACTTTTATTGCAATCCTTCCCCGCCATCCGGAAGATAAAACACTCGTCCCCTTTTTCTCATAAATTGAAACGGGTAAAACAAATCATTGCAATCACACACTCTCACCTTTACTACGTACATTTATAGGGAGACATCGATTGCATTTTCATCCTATGGGCCTGTCCTTAGTGTGAGTGAGAGGGGGAAATGATTATAGATCTCTCCTCCGGACCCCAGTTAAAATCGACGACCCAATGTCTTATGTGTTTCATGCATACTCATTGTGGTCGGTTGGCACTCCCTATCCATTATCAAATCTATTCAATCAAAGCCAACATGCACAAGTTTTATGTCTGGCGGTTGGAGCTGGGGAAGGGGGAAACAATTAACAGTATTTCCCAGCTGATTAAATTCCCCTTTGATTTGTACTGGTTGAAAGAATCCATATGGTTTTATGTTTGGGGAATAAGTCAAAATGTCATTCTGATTGTGAATCTCCAGAACTGTCCCAACCTGTTAGGAGTTCCTTGCAGGTGGTAAATATACAATAACATACTGTGTGTTCACACATCCAACCGTACCTGGAACTGTATTACCTTTTTAATTGGTTATGGATACATAATCCTTAAAACAAGGCTGAATCTAGTTTTATAACCTTATTATTTCATTCGATGTTAAGCTTTCATGGTGCATATTCCTTTATAGGAATAGATCCCCTGTAGACATGTGGAAAGGCAGTGTTTCTTAAAGTTTTTAACAGAGCATACCACCTCAGTAAATGGTGAGCTCTCCAAGTACCACCATTATGACTTATGTTAAAATACAGCAGTGCAGGCTGCAGGTTCAGCTATGGACAGTTCACACAGCAGGTTTATTCCTAATTATAGTTGACTGTTGAATCCTGAATGAAACCGGTTCAAGAACCAGAGCTAATCTGGTCAAAAAGGGGTCCTCCTGGTCCACACTTCTCTTCCTAATAGTTCGTGTTTGGAGCCACAATTGCAGTGTTTTTAAACCATTCATTTTACCTCCGCTAACTATCTTACTATCTTACCATCACATTGTAGCTCCCAACTAATCATGGATGTGTGTGTGCTATGTGCATGAGCATGGCAACATAGCAGACTGATATAAAAATATAAAATATTACAGGAAGTGCAAAACCTCATAGTATTATGTGTTTTTAAATGAATTCATTTAATTTTTTTAGGAGAAGATTCCTCTGCGTACCACTATAGGCAACTAGCGGGCTATAGTTAGAGAATCAGTGTATTAAGGCATACATACAAATAGTCTGCTTAGAACAATGTGTGTCTGATATGTTTTTTTTCTCAAAGAAAAGTATAATACATATAATACATATACATCCTTAAAAATGCCCATACACCTACCTCAATAAAAATTCCACAATCTTTCAGGGATGCATGATAATTATCGGGGCAGATAAATTATTAAATTATTATTATTGGATAATGGAATTTATGTTATATAGTACTAAGATAATTATAGCCAAGAAATTATCGGTTGATAATTAGAACAAATAAATGCGGTTAAACATTTGAAGAGAAAAACAGATTTTTGAGTGGAGGTGGACTTAAAATAAATAACCACAAACAGAAATACTGAGTGCTATCTGGGGCTCTGGGCAGAATATAATAATGCTGGCATGTGTAATGTGCTGTTTGTTGCTGTGTGCACCTGAAGGGTACTTAAAGGTAACAAGATACACACACAATTCAAAGATAGTGGGAGTAGTGGGGAGTCAGTAGGAGACCACTGCTCAAATTTGCCCGTGGGTCCCCTTGCAAGTTGATTCAGCCATGCCTTGATACTGTTGGGTGCAAACTCTTGCTGAATTACTGTTGTCGAGGCACATTCTCAGAGTTTCTAACTCATAATCTGAGTTATGAATGAGCTAAATCCCAGTCAAACACTCTGCACTGTTCCCTGGAGGGATGCTGTCATGTTTGATAAATGCAGGCCCTGATGTTTGCAATAAATATCCATACATTGTGTTTAGCTACATTTGTCTACATCTTGAAGAAGCTAGTGTAGGTGTTAAAGTTTTTGTAATGTATTGTCATCGTAAACTGTTTCTGCCTGTTGTCTCCTTTATAGTTATGGCAGAGTCTATGCAACAGCAGACCCATATCACCATACGATTGGTCCTGCAGCCACATACAGTGTGGGCACTATGGTGAGTCTGTTTCCTGTTTCGTAGCTGCGGACTGTGTGAATATTGTGCCAGACTGTATGAACTGGGTGTGGTGCTGCAGCCTCACACGGTTGTCTTTGATAACATACTGTATGACGCAGCACCTGGACTGTGCATATGAACTGCTAAACTACTAACAATGAATGAATTCCTTAAATCAAATCATTTGCTGACATGCTTCAGAGATATATTCAACAAAAGAGCCTGTTTTTTACTCAACTTGTTGTTCCTTGGAGTTGTGTTTCCCTCTGAGAGACCCATTTTAATGTTTAATGTGAATCTTTGCCACTTCAGTAAATGAAAAAGGGACATTGCCTTATTCTCAAACTCCCCATTCAATTTCATTGGCCTGAAGCTACTTGCTCGAAACCCAACAGAGACTGAGAATTCCTCCCCGCAGGAAACAGTCTCTTCAAATTCTGCAAGGGGAGATAGTCGAATGGTTAATGTTTGTTTTTAGCTAGCTTTGCAGCTAACATCAAAGATGAAAAAAATCTTTCCAAAGAAAGAAACTGAGCACCCCAGAAGATGGGGGAGAAAGAGAAAGTACAATTTGTTTTCTTTCGTGGGTGTGGGTAGGGACTTCCTCCAAAGATTAACGACCATCTAGAACATGCTTGGACGTGCTGTGGCAGATTAAAGTAGAAGGAGAGAAAGATAGAGCACAAAAAGAAGGAACAGTAGGAGAAGGAGAGTTCTTAGCAGACCGGCTGCAGCTGGAGCTGCTGCTTGGTGTAGCATCTTGGACTCCAGACAGATGAGGGTTGATGATGAGTGCTGACGTGCTTGTGGTGATGGAAATCAGAAGCCCTACCATCTCCCCCATGTGTCCCCCAATCCCCCCCCCTTCCTCCCTTAGTGCAGCTGCTAGCTAAAAGCCTTCATTAATTACGACCATTTTTTCCTCTTCATTTACTTAATTAAAACAGTGGCCTGTGTTTTCCTCCTTATTACTCTACATTTTCTTCTCTTTTGTCTTCAAATTACTCCTCCCTTTTTCCCCATCCTCCCATATCCAAACCCCTCACTTCAAATTTGTATTCCTGATTCTAAATTTGAAAAACAACAACACTCAATAAATGAATCTCAAACTTTATCATTCTGAACTTAATTAGATGAAACTGGTCAGATGTAGGCAATAGACTGATAAAGGTAGAGTTATGGGTTGGATAAGTGACTTATTGTAACTTAAATCAATTGTGCCTTGTGTTGTTCTTGTAGATCCCATGTGGGGATAATTTTTAATTAGCGCTTTCAGGTCCTGTGAGTTTAGGCCAGAGTCGTCTGTGTGGCTCTATACTGGATGAGATATTCTGGATTAGGTTGACCTACTCTTGTGATAACTTGTCAGATATTTGGATTCCCAAGTTGTCAAATATGTCAGCTTGGTTAGTGGCCCTCTCCCTTCATTCCTGGAACGCGTCCTTCTGGTGTAATGTTTTGATGTGCTGTTGAAGTCATGACGTTGTATAAACAGCAAGCCAGTTGGAGGAGGATGGGGTGGATGGATGGCTCAAACAAAACACAGGACTTTAACTCGGGAGCTGGAGGATGTTATAACAGGGAGATATTTTGTATTGAGGATGGTTACTGACAGAGGAAAGCGGGAAAGAGACAGGTGTTTGTGTCCTTTGTGAAACCAAAAGTCAACTTTTTTTTTTAACTTAAGTTACGTTACATTACCTTTCGTTATGTTGCCATACATTACATTACCTTATGTTACCTTACTTTATGTTACATTACCTTACGTTACTTTGTCACGTTACCATACGTTAGGTTAACTTACGCTATCTTATGTCATGTTACCATACGCTATGTTACCTTACGTTAACTTAAGTTACGTAGTTTATTTTAACTCAAACCACAGTCTTTTCCTAAACCTACGTTTTGTTCCTAATCCTACCCAAACTGCAACCATTTAAACTCATAAAATGTTAAATAAAAAAGATTTATTTTAAAAGTTTAACCAGACAGTGCATATTTATCATTGTTAACTTGACCATGGAGCATGTGCAAAGTTGACACTAGAGGTGTACTTACAGGGTCTGTTTTCCTAGTTTGAAGCAGAGGGGCACTGATCAAGCTGCCGTATTTAACCAGTTGGGAGTGAGAATGTGTTGTGGTGTTGGTTACGTGTTGGTGAGGGTTTTTTTGCTGAATCTGTCTGCATCAGAGTTCATGTCCCATCACAGACTTGTAATTATAATGCTTGTCTTTTTATTTCAAAAATTGGGCATAATCAGAGGTTTGAAGAATTGTCGAATATTGACATTATTGTCTAGTGTTGAGGTTGGTCTTAACAGAACCTCAGTGCCTGGAATGGATTCACCTTAGTCTCTATTCAGCGTCACATGAGGAATGAGACTTAGGAAACCATCTTGTTTTTGTGTGGAAAATTATATAAGCACTTAGCTTCTATTGCCTATCTGTCTGATCTACTGTATATACCATAAAGGACAAGGAGGGATGGTTCAAGTTTTTAGCATTAAGAGCAGTTTTATTTATTTAAGAGTATTATTTGGTAGTGGCTGTACACTGTAGAACTTGTTATATGGCAAATGGGGTAGTTAAGGTCACATTCAAACATTACAACAGTTGCTGAATGATGACATTATTGCCTTTCTTTTTTGCCAGAAGAATCTGGGGCTAAACAGCTCATTTAACTCGTCTGTCTCATGTACATACAGCAATCACACACACACACACACACACACAATCACATTCTTTAACTGTACAAATGTCCTAACTACCTTGTGCACAAAATCACTCTAAATTAAAGAGACAAGTGGAAAAAGGGAGGAACGTTTCTTTGGAGGAAAGAGAGAAGTTCATTTTAATATTAATATAACAAACAAAGGTACTACATTGAATACTGATTGGAGCTTTTTCATCTTTGATGTTGCAGGCTAGCCTTTACAGAGGAGGGTGCAGTCGCTTCACTCCCTACTAGAAAAGAGGGAGACACGCCCCCTTTCCTTCCCCGCAAAACAGACACAAAAAAAAGACCGCAACAAATGAAATCACTAAATATCCATCTTCACCTTCTTCATGGAAAAAGTAAAAACAAAACGCTTCCAGGTGGCAAATGTGACCCTGAAACGCAAGAATCTCAAGTTGCTTCCCCATTTACAGAGTGTACACATTGTCATTTATTGATGTAATGTACTTATTTTGGAAAAGAACATTGTGTTGACTTGAATGTATTTGCACTGACATGTCTGTAGTTGAAGAAAGATGACAACAACATTCAATGTGGACAAAGTGGGGAAAGAGCTGAAAGGGCAAACTTTGTCTTCCTCCTCACTCTTTTCCTCTCCAAGTTATTGGTCTGCAGCTCAGCTCCTTTGGGGTGGCCTTTTGCGCTAGTTTTAATTCCACCTAATTTCCCTACCTTTATTGTTTCAATTAGTCATTTCCCCCATATGCATTAAGAGCACTACTGTTCAGCAATTCCAGTTTGAGCAACAAATTTCAGATTGGACTTATAAAGTAAATGATACCGTCATTCCACCCCCCTAGAGAACTGGCTCCATTCTGAGTGAGCCAATAACTGGAGCTAAGTTTCAGACGGCATAATGGGACTCAGAAATGTTCAGCCCAAAGGAGGTGAAACTGCAACAAAATGGCTACCAGGAAGTGATGCATTGTGAAAACCAGAAGGCGAGAGGAAGAGTGTGATGTATTGCTGAATCTGAATGCAGGAGGAAGTGATGTATGGTAGGGCGTGGAGCAAGAGCTATGGCAGCCATTGCAAAATGGGCAGCAGTGTGTTAGTGTCCATTGATCGTTGGCATAGTGCCACAGGCAGGAGGTATCCCATTACTTTTGAATGGAGAAAACAACATTATTTTCACACAATGCCTCTCACTGTTTCATGTCTCCTCATGCCCTGCACATACTAAGCAATAATGCCACATATGCATATGGAGGAATGCTAACAAATATGTTTGACTTTTTAGTGAAAAGATGTGAGAGTGTGATTTTTCTTGAATTTACTTACAAAGACATCTTAATACAGTGTTCGTGTTAAAGCTGCATTAATTGCATTTTGGACACTAAGGGGTAGAAAAACATCAAAACTTACTGAAGGATAAAGCCACCACAAACCCCAATCGTCTACTTTCACATCCAGCAGACACAGAGCATCTTATCATTCATTTAGAGTTGTGTCTGTGTCCAGATGATGAAGTCCAAAATTTCCAATATATCCTGATAGCTAGCTCTAACCAATCAGCTGTGAATGAAATATCCATCCTGTATACTTTGGGAGCAGTTGGTATGATCAGTTTTTGTCACAATGTTAAAGTAAATGGGTTTTTTTTAATGTACAACAACCTGTACACCTGTGTCCTCATCCAAACATTTCTGTTGCTGTATCTTCAGCCAGGGAGCTATGTAGGAAGTTGATATCCTCATTCTCAGTCTCATCTACAAAGCTCTGATCTGTCAGTTGTTACACCTGAAAACAGCTGTCAATTAGCATAACACCATGTGTTTTTGATTTGTGGAGTGAATTAAAGATATGGAATCAGGGTAGGTCTTTAAAGCCTCCTGAAAATAATATCTCTGGCTCTTTAGCTGCTACATGTTTTTCCACCCGTCGGTGGTACTACAGGTAGTGGGGTTTATTCAAACGTTTTTGCAGGAAACTGTTGTCAACCATGATTGATGAGAACAGTTGTGAGTCAACCATATAGTAAATGGTCCTAACCAAAACCAGAGCTAGAAGAGGCAAAACGCTCCATGGAGCAGGATTGATCACGACTTTAACACCATGTCTGACCCTTTTAAAACCGAGCCAGACAGAGTCAATTGATTAATTGTTAATATCAGTCAGTCAATTGACTTTTTCACTGGGCAGACAGTGAAATGGTACATCCTCTCCTGAGATGATCAAACTGGCTGGGACTGATTCCTGCTATTCAGTGTGATTATCCCTGGAGAGGTTTTATGAGGGCTGCCCCTTAAACATCGGTACCCTCGAGTTGAGTCTTTTCCTGACACAGTCCCCGTTTCCACACTCTGCAGTTCCAGATCTGAATGCTAGCCAAGCATGTGAACCCAACCAGACCCTTGCACTGCAATAAGGACGATGAACCAAACAGGAAAATAAGATTAATTTCAGGAAATTCTGATTCAGATACAATCAGTAATCAATACAAGGTTTTTAACAAATTTACCATTACTTTACATTGTCTCCCCACATATGTTTACCAGCTCATTATATACCTGGAAACTAAAGCGGACTTGCTTACCAAAATTTACAATACAGCAGGTCTAGACTATACTGTTTATACTTTATACTAACTTACCTTTTAACTGGCAGAAAACTCGAGCAGGACCAGGCTCTGGGTGGGCGGTCAACTTCCTTGATAGGCTGAGAGAGAGACAGAGGGAAGAGAACAGTTGCAACTGGAGAGTCTTGAGAGACTTATTGGGGCAGCTTAATAATGAGGAAATGCGGTAATCCAGCCTAGAAGTAACAAATGCAAGGGCTAGCTTTTCTGCATCTTTTTGTGGATGTGTTGTTCTTTTATTTTGTGTTACGTAGTTGAAAAAAGCAGTCCTTGAAGTTTTTTATATGTGGGAGTCAAATGACATACCCTGATCAAAGGTAACTCAGAGATTTCTAAAGGTGGTGCTGGAGGCCAGGGCAGCGCTATCTAGAGTGACCATATGTTTAGATAATGTGTTTCGGAGGTGTCTGGGGCCAACTACTAGAACTTAAGTTTTGTCTGAGTTTTTTAAGGCATGCTTGAAGTTTAACTTCACCTTTAATGTGACAGAGACTCCTTCCTGAAAGCAGCTGCCCCCTCCTCATTACTGACTATCCAATAAAGGGAAAAACAGTGCAAGATACTGTCTACCAGCAACCTCAGTCCAACCTGAGTTGTGTAAGTTATTGTTAGCATTGAGAGGGATCTACTACCAGAGTTTTACAGGATAAGTTTTAGATCCAGGGAGGAAATCCAAATGATGTCAAGTAGAAGAAGGAATTATAGAATCCTAAGATTCACAATCTTAGGATTATCGTTTGTGTTTTAACACAAGATCTCTCACTGGCTTCAGTTTGATTAGTTTTCAGTGGGATGAGTTGTCACCCAGAGCTCAAATTCAAGACCAATAAAAAAAAGGAGGGAGTACAAAATTGGCGGTGAAGTCACTCCATGGACAGATGTTAACATCAGTCATGGTTAAAACTCTATTGTATCATCTGCAACCTGAAAAGAGACTCAAAAACTCTGTTTTCCTCTCATTCTCCGCTGGAAGATTGACTCTCAAGGTGACCCCCCACCCCCCACTCCCAGGTAGAGTGTGTTTTAAGAGGTTGTCAGGCTGGTGTGCAGAAGCAGCTTGATGAGTCCTGGAGGGTCATTCAGAGAACAGAAAGGCTGCTCAACCTAATAACCCCAACCCTCCATCAAAACCCCAGATAACTGTTACGAGGTAAGAGTTTTTCAACCTTGGCTCAGAACCCTGAATGGGGTCCACTGATACACAGAAACTTTAGAATTCTCCTAAGCCTGATAAAGATATTTATTTGCAACTGAATGGATGCATTTCATTTTTGACACATACTTTGACAAAACTCTAATGACAGGACTTTTAGGAATTTCTAAAATGAGACTAAGGGCCAGAAAAGGTTGAGAAGGCCAGTCTTCAATAAGGAAATAAAATTGGAAGAAAATAATACATTTATAACTAATTTGACACATAGCAAAATATGGTCAGCCCTGGAGCGACTATAATCTAATATATATTTATTAAAAGGTCCAGTGTGTAACATTTAGAAGGATCTATTTTCAGAAATGGAATATAATATTCATCTGTAAGTTTTTATTAGTATATGATCACTTATTCCATGCAGTCTGCCTATGAACCACCATGTTTCTACAGTAGCCCAGAATGGACAAAAAGGCCACCGTGCTTTCTTCTACACACTTTAAAGGGAGTGGTATTCTTTAATCCTTAAGAAGAGCAAGCTTGAGCAGGCATGCTTGTCAATCAGGAAAACAAATTATGGATGTGGTAATAAAGGTAAATCAAATGATGTTATCACAAGCTCAATATGTTTAAAAAAGTTGAATCACACAAACAGAAAGCTAGTCAATTTTATTTTCTTTGCAGCTTTGAAGCCAATTGCACAAATTGCAGGTGAATGCAAGTATGGCTTGACTAGTGTGTAGGTGAAACTATGGTAGTTGCAAACCTCGTGAAAGGCCCTTTCTAGAGTCAGTGTTTGGTTTGTCCGTTCCAGGCTACTGTAGAAACATAGTGGTTTAACATGGCGGACTCCATAGAAGAGGACCCGCTCCCTCTGTAGATATAAACAGTTCATTCTAAGGGAACAAAAACACAACAATCCTTATATTCAGGTGATTATACATTAATGAAAACATACCTATAAATATTATATTCCATTTCTGAGAATAGATCCTCATCAGTAGCCTAACGGTCTAGCCTCAGGGCGCACACACTCACATGCTGCACCGCTTAGGAGAGCTATGCTAAAACCAGAACAGGCAACACTCCTAATACACCCAAGCATTCAGTTATCCACCAATCTCCCTCCCTCTCTCCCAGCCACACACACACACACACACTCCCACCAGTAAATAGCATCTGTGCCTGCTGTGTCTGATGGGATCGTAAAGAGAGGAGTCAGTAGCGCAGGAAGAAAGGGGAGTGTGAAGAGAAGCAGCAACCGAGGCAATTTACCCCACAGATTAGAGATAAGAGAGTTCAGTCAATAAGCACTGATCTCATTTGAAGATATACCAGACTGACTAGACTCTCTCTCTCACACACACACACACACACACACACACACATTCACACTAGTTGGTCTATTGCTGTCACTGTTGTGTCTGTCTGCACACTGTCTTTTCTAGAGCCCTTGCTGTTTCCAACAAGGATAAGGCCATTGTTACAGTAAATATGGATTGGACAAATTTCCCACTCCCTGTCTAACCACACGTCTTCTTTTTTTTCTTTGCACAGACAAAATGTGGCCTTAATCTAACATGTCCGCAGCCTCTTAAGACAAGCCCCTTCACTCTTAAACTTTCCCCCTCTTAGTTTCCCTTCAGTGTTTAGTCAGGCTACGGCACATTACAGACCATGTTTACCACAATCATCCCTGTATTGTATTTAGCATTAAATAGCATTAAAAGTGTGTTTTTCTTACTGTCAACAAATCTCATCAGAAGACAAAAACCAACAATGGCTGATCCTAATAACATGCCTGATATATCTTCTTCCTCTGAGCCATAGCGCTCCGTTGTTCAAAACCTCAATGAACAACACTGTTGCACTGGGTGACATTCATTACCATTAAAACACACACTGTAGTTCATTTTGACTCAATCCCATGTACACCGTCCTGCTGCAATACTCACTAGAGCAGTGGTTCTCAACCTGGGTGTCGGGACAGCGCAGAATGAGAGAAAGCAAGCAGCTATCAGCAAAGTCATCCCTTTAATGACATTCAGGACAAAACTCAAAAACACTATGTACTAGGCTATATACTCTTATATACTCTCTATTTCTACTTGTTAACAGGGCCAGTTAGCTCAGTAATATGAAAGTGTATTTCTATCTACTATCATGCTTTTAGGCTTAAAGGGACATTGTGTAGTGTTTTAAGTATTTTATTAGCTAAAATCAATGTCTTCATTCATAAATGTGTCCTCATTGGTGTAAAATTACCTCTGCCAATGATCTGACTTATCCTCGTAAGCAAAGAATTTCTTATCTGTATATACATTGGACGGGCAAGTCCATGGAGGCTTCCATGTTGTTCCGCCATTTTGAAAAACTATAATCGCCGAGAGGGACATAAAGCACTAGCCTACCTGTCTAGCTAATCCACAGCGCGTTTTCGTTCAGAGCCAGCGTCACGTGACTGAAACCAGCTATAACGGAGAAGGAGATCACTACCCCGGCACATTTGAAAGTCTGCACTGCACTTTAGTTAATAATGGAGGATCATACTTATGCCGAGCCACAGGAGAAGGAGTCCTCATCGCCAAAAAAGCAAAAAGGGAATTAAAAAGGCAACGTGGCGAATTAAAAAGACGAGGGTAAACATCGGGGTAGCTTTTCCCAGGTGGAAAGAGCTAATGAAGGAGAAAGACTTTCAAAGGGACGCTGAAGTTGCCTGCTTTCTCCTCGACAGGTAGGCTTCTTGGTACATAACGGCTACCGTAGTTGCAATACGCATTTGAAAACGCGAGGCACTAGAGAGCACTATTCATTTGAATGTAAAATACAATTTCACCACTAGATGGGAGAAATTCCTACACAATGTCCCTTTAAAGCAGACAAGGTGAATGTGCCGTTATTTTAAAGAATCTAAAAACATGAATTAGTTGTTCTGTCTGTGGGCAAAGCAGTGGTCTTCCTGTGTGAGTTTGGAAGCTTTCATGTGTTATATTAGACACAAACACCAACATGATTATCCTGGAAGGTTGCCACTCTAAAAGGTTGAGAACCACTGCACAAATACATTATTTCCTCCTGCTTTAGTAATGTTTGTCAAAAAAATTACAAAACAACAGTGGCCAGCTATCTTAAGAAATCACTGAGCCTTTTTAAAAATTACACTATATTTTTGAGACACTGCATTTTCAAAAGGAACCAATAGGACAGAAAAGATTAGGGATGTCTGACACTATTTTAGTTTAGAATAATTTAAGTGATTACTAAAGCAATATAAATGACATGATAGGGGCCTTAAAAGGACTAGTGTGTAGGATTTAGTGGCATCTAGTGCAACTTTGTCACTTCACCCTCTGATACACACTGGACCTTTAAGGTCTGCGATGAATGGGGAGTTAGTAAGGGCCTAACAACTCAATTTTAACTTAATTAGCTTTAATCTTGGCATGGGTTTGTTGGCAGAAAAAATTATAATGCCAACCTTGTCCTTAAAACTCTAGTGTACAACCTTAGAGACAACATGAATAATTCAAATGATTTAAATATTGGTGGCAAAATGGTTGCAGCAAAGCTTAACACTTTTAATTTTACATTAGAAGCTTGTAAAGATATGCACTCTGACACACAGAAAATGCTTATATATTCTATAGAGTAGAAGGTAATTTCAGTGGTAATGGGATATCAACTGCTTTTCATAACCATTGATGTAAATAGAAATCTGGTGTTTGTGTTTTCTTTCATCCATCGCTCTTCCATGCACTTTACAATTTTTAAATGTATGTTTGTCTTAAGGTTCTAAAAGTCATTTGCCAGTATTTGTGTATCATAGAAAGAAGTGTAATAGCGTAGTATTTATTAGTCTATTATTTATAGTGATATTAACATTAGGTTCTTATACTAGAGAAGAAACAAATATATATGAAAAGAAAAAAATGTTCTTCCTTTTGTATGGTTATATATCAGTGGTTAGGGGTTAGACAACGGCAACATTTTATATGACAAGAAAAAGGCTTTAACTGGTGTTTTTGGTTGGATCAAATTCAATATCTTTCTATGTGTTTGTGGTCACATTACTGTGTGAGGTGTGTTTTGTTAAGCCATAGGCCTACTACTGTCTATAGCAATGTTTCCTAAGTAACCTCTATGTCTCCCAGCTCACACAGACACTTTATTTATCTGCTGCCCCTCTGTTTGTTTGAGCTTGTTTCTGTTGGGGAAATTGAGAGCACAAGTTTAAACGACTGTCAGTCTGTTTCTTGGTTTTATGACATCACTAAAACACAGAGCCCGTGCTGAGGGATGAAGCAGCCGTCCAGACAGCAGTATTTAAGTTGCCATTAATGTTAAGCAAAGATAGTACAGTGAGTGTCACTGACATCCAATAAGTTTCTGTTTTTCCTCTATCATCCCAAAAACAAGTAAAAATCTTTCGTAAAATGACAAATTTAAATATTGCCTCAAATTCCTTCCATGTTTTACCAATCAGGTAGCATCATTAGCTCCTGTTTTCATGTTCCACAGAGCAGGCCCACTGTCCCCCCTGTGTTAATGGCAGTTGTTTTGGGGGTTGTGCAGAGCTTTCAGCTTTGAGTTTAAGGCAGTTCCTATCACAGTCTTAGTTCTTTGGCAATTGACATGATGAAAGTCTATGTTTCACATGGCTGGGTACTAGGCAGCAATTCAATGATTGCCAGTTTAATTGCCTCTGTTAATGCAGTCATTTGTAAGATGGCACCATGGGCCACCATCCAAATACAAAATGGTTGACTCTGGATTTTTATTTCTCCCTTTCTCTTTTTTTGTCTCAACACTGACAGACAAGGGGTGGACATGATTGTTGGCTTGATGCACAGGACCAACGTCTTGTAACTGAGTGGAAGGTGTGCGCATTGGCTCCCTTGCCCTATGGATAGCATTAACACTCTCCACTGTGGAGGTCCACAGAGATGTTTACGTGTATCTTGCAGAATGATAATTTCAGTTTACGGCAATTTGGCAATCACTGCCTTTAAAGGTTGGGTCTTTCATTCTGGAGAAAAATTGATGATTTAGTCTTATTCCTAGGCAAACCAAAGTGCTGGTATTTGACGGTATTTCCAGGCTGCAAAATGGAGGAAGCTATCTGTGCTAGAGAATAAAGAAAGAAAAAAGGGCTGCAGCATGGTCTGCAGTCATCCTGAGTGGGCAGTTAAACACAGCTCTTGCATGAACAGTGTGACGTATTGTCCATTTACCAACTAAACTAGCTGGGCCTGTAGTTAGCCGCCACGTCACCAAGCGTCATTCACCACCTCTTTCACACCGACGAGTGCCACTTTCTGTGGCTTAAAACCCTTCTAAATGACAGCCCTTCACAGCCTTCCATCAAGCTAATTAATTCAGAATTTATTTCTATATTTCTATATCACATTGAACACAAATGTATATACATATACTGTACATATTGGGGCTGTCACATTTTTCAAAAATCCAGTTGGAACGAACCATTTAGTGTCATTGAGGAAGTTCTGGCAGCTAAGGGGGGGGTGCGTAGGAGTTAGCATAGATGCTGCTAGCTGCTAGTATTTCTAAATGGAAAGAAGAGCAAAGAACGACAATGACTCTCTTCTCCCGACTGGCTTCAGTCAGAGTGTGGCTACGTTATATTCAATTCAATTCAATTCAATTCAATTTTATTTGTATAGCGCCAATTCATAACAGAAGTTATCTCAGGACACTTTTCAAATAGAGCAGGTCTAGACCGAACTCCCCAACATCAACCACATAGACCCAACAGTACCACCATGAGCAAGCACTTGGCGACAAGGGCAAGGAAAAACTGCCTGTTAAAAGGCAGAAACCTAGGACAGATCCTCCGGCTCTAGGTGGGTGGTCGTCTGTCTCGACCAGTTGGCAGTTATATGGTTTGTTGATCTGATCTTTTTTGAAAGTGCCTGCCCTTTTCCAAACAGTTTTCAACATCAGCTTCCCAGTTGATTCTACGTAAGTCTTGGAGCGCAGTCAGGTTAGACAGCTGTTTGTACAGAGGGGACAGACGCACACTGCTTTACAGGTGCTTTGGTGTCGCGATTGTCCGCTCAGGACGGCTTTGCTCCATGCTTTGCTTGCTAGTGTACTCCATTTTTCGTAGTAAGCAACATGACATTATTAGCTTAGTTTACTGAATAATAGGATAATAGGGCATGCCATAGGTCAGTCTGATGGTGGAGTTCCCTCTGATGGATCACAAGGCAAACTCCTTCAAATGGTCTGGTGTGTTTATAGACTTCAAACAGGTCATTACACCTCAAACATTAACTGCGTTCAAACAAATGATCAACTGTTGAATAAAAAGTGACAACCCTAGTACATATACATGTCTGTGTAGTTTTGGTTGCAGCGTAGTGATCCATTCAGTGTACATCCAGAGTCTGCTCGTGTTGTAAATGACTGTGGCTCCAGTGGAAAGCCACACAGACCTCTGTGGGATTGTGGGTGACAGAGCCCAAGTCAAAAGACTTATGAACAGAGCATAGCTTCTACTATCAAAGGAGCCACAGGGGAGCCAATTTAAAGGCCACATATTTTTCATAAAGCCATAGTAGGACTCATCACAGCAATGTTCCGAGCAGAAGCAGAGTTGAGGTGCAGATGTGAGAAAGAACCGCATAAGCAAGTTCATTTCATTGTCCGTTTAATACAGACTCTTTTTTTCTTTTGACAGCTTTTTAAATGTGTGCTCTCCTTTTGTTTCAAAGTCATGGGTTTACATGTTAAGGGATTTTTAGAGATAAATGTTTTATATGAAAAAATAACCAAATGCTGTGTAGTTCTAGTTTAAACACGTGCTGTGTGTGATTTTCATTTGTTTTTTTTGTATATGATCTGATGTATCTAATTATTTGGTAAGTGGTTTATTCTGAGTATTTGCTAAATCTTTAAGAACTTTCTGTGTTGTTTTCTTCTGTATTTGACTCAAATTTTCTCTGAAATACTAACATGCCAGTATCTGATGAATATGTACTAGGCTGCGTATTTATGTTGGGCCATACAAGAACCTTCCTGTTGGCCCTGCAGTATCAATGAATGCAACACTGGTTTATTTTTGTTTCACTGTCTGTATTATGCAAATACATATATCATATTTAACTGTTTGTCCTCAAATCTCAATATACTTTGTCCTTAAAGAGACACCTGTCAGGTTCATGCTCGTCTGTTCTTTTCGAGGATCCTCACACAAACAGTCAGCTCGAGGTTATCGGGCTCTGGCTCACGACTGATGAGTCTGCTTCAACTCTCCCCTCATTCTTTCTTTGAGGAGTCAGAGCAGATGTGGTAGTTTCAAATGTCATGCATGCACTTCAACTCGCAGGTGTAGAGCAGCGAGGGGAAGCCTGTAGGGAAGGGAAGGGTACAGTGGATGGTTGTAGGGGGAGGGTGGTGGTGGGGGCACAGGCTTCTCAACCCATTAACTTCAGCGGGACGTATTTGCCCAAAGTGATTAATATATTTGTCACCTCGGCTCAGCTCTCGGCTGGGCTCTCTGCATCCTCCGCGGTATCAGAGTGTGTACCTCGGCCCCAACCCCACCTTTCTGCTCAGCCCCTGCTGCTTCCCCCCCCCCAATCTCACCTTCCCTCCGTTTCCCTCCAAGGCGCCATCTCTGCAGCCGCCCTGGTTTAAAAGGCATGTGGGAGGGTGTAGGGCTGTTAAGTTGAGACGAGAGGACGCCGTTATTGGCTGTGATTGGCGACTCGGCGCCGCAGCTGCACAGGTTGTGTCTCCCGCTCCGTAGGGGCAGGGCCCAGCAACTACAAAGCGATGCTGAAATTAAAGTCGGCCTCTTCTGTTCTCGCCTCTGAAGTCCCAACCCCCCCCGAAACGCACACACACACACACACACACACACACACACACACACACACACATCCTTCCATCGCCTCAACAACTCATCTCCCAGAATTAAAGGGTCTGTCAAGATGAGAGCCTCCCAGGACATAGCCAGCCTCAGTCTCCTCTCCTCCCCTTCTTTCTTCCCGATATTGCTGGAGTGTGATGTACTTTGTTTCTCATACCCTCGCTGTGGAAAATCAGGATTGTCTTGTACAAAAAAAACCCACACACTTGGTGCTGCTAAGCCTCTAAGATGGTCAGCAGTAATATTTGTAGTGAGGGTTTGACTGAGATGGTTTTCCAAGGCTGATCCTGTTACTCCTGATTGAATTTGAAGTTGCAGTTTAGTGTTAAACCATGTTTAGTAATTTAGTAACCAATTAGTAAAAATAAATGTGTTTTTAAATTCTAGTTAAGATTCCGTAGTTTGGAAAGATACCAAACAGCAGGCTGAGTGAACTGGTGGGAAATATTCATAAAATATGAAGTCTTTCATTTTACTCGGCATAAAAGTCTCGTGACCATTCTCAACTGCATCCATCTGCAGTTGGTCTAAAAATATCTGACTCACTGGGTTTAACAGCTCCTCTTTGCTGACTAATAACATTTTCTAAATGAGCCAGATAAATCTCACAGCCAATAAATCCAGTTATTTTGGTCATGCAGCTCCAATTAAGTGTTAGAATATGTACTTACAGATTATATTTGTGATACTGTCAAACAGTGTGGAATAGGTCTCAACCTTAAACAGGTAGAAGTGCTACAGCACCTCCAGCTATAGCACAACACAATAGATAAGAAAATACACATTAAATAAAAACAGAATAGAAACATACAAGCAATAAAATTAGAATAAAAGATACATGTACAGCTTTTTATATACAGATCTGATTGATTTTGTCGTCTGTTATTTCCTTAAATTATTTGGACTACTAAATATGTTCCACACACTATTATAATCATGAACTGGATTATTAAGTAATTAATCTTCAGAATATCAGTAAATGCAGATAAGACACAGTGGGCTGTCATTTAACTCCAATGTAATCCATCCTCATCAGGTGGCATAGGCTATGTTCACACAGCAGTCACAGGTGAGCGAAAATCCAATTATTTTGCTCATATGTAACTCTTTTTCAGATTTTTTCTTGACAGTGTAAACAGCACAAATCACATGGTATCTGAATAGGGACATTTCATATGTGGTCCAAATCAGATACAGGTCTGATTTGTTGCAGTGTGACTTTAAAAGTCCACATTTAAAAAACAGATATGAGCAATAAATCAGAACTGAGCGCTAAGGTTTGCATTGTGAACACAGTGTAAAGAGTGAGAAAGTCTGCATAAGGAAGACCAGGGTTTGCGTCCTGTGTGAAACCAAAAGTAATTTAAAGTTTTATTTTCTTAATGTTACATACTGGATGTGACTTGCGTTATGTAACATACTTATTTTAACCCAAATCATGATCTTTATTAAACATAACCAAGAAGTTATGTTGCCTAAACCTAACCAATCTGCAATAAAGGAAAGAAATAAATACAGAATTGCACTGTTTTATATTATCGCACTGATTGAACAAGATCTCATTCTTAACCAATGGACAAAGAAATCAGCCTAAGCTCCTGTGTTAAACCCTGCTGCTGACTGTTGAAGATGGCAGAATATCACAGCTGTGTACACAATTGTTTTGATACTGTATGTACAGTGTAATCTAATGATGTTTCACAAGAAAATCTGACTCTGCCAAAATAAATGTCTCCTCGTTGCTCAGTGATTGAATACTATTTGTTCAGTGAATGCTAAAATTGCTTGATAATGATGGTGCAGCTGTTTTGATGTCATTATGGTAGACAATGTGTATATAATAACCCTTCTGCTTTTTACTTCTTTTTACTGTGAAAATGAAAGTAGACAGCATTTTTTGTGTTCTTTTACAATGTATAGAAGAAAATTCACCATATAGTTGAATGCCTCACACTGACTTGCTTGTTCTCTCTTTTTTTAGTAAATAAAATAAAGACTAGAGGGATGAGTACAGATGGACATCAACAAAAAAAAAAAGAGAAGAACAACGTGGACAGAAGGACACTAAAAAAGATCAACTAAAACAAAAAGCAGATTTGTAATGGAGCCCTTCTATCAGGAATGGAATGGAACGGACGGATGGACGGATGGACGGAGGATTTTTGCGGGCCTGCTCTGTGGCCCAGGCCCGAACCATTGAGCCTGTAGTCAAAGGGGGGCGGGGGAGCCTGCTGGCTCTGACCCCTGAAAAACAAGCCTTGCCGAGTGGAAGAGACCAATTAGAGAGGTCACCATAAAAACATTTTATTTTTGTAAACTTTTTTAAGTTTATGATTTCCAAAAAGAGCAAACACTAATGTACGTATATACATATTATATATTATATGTGTGTAATATAGTAAGTATGTTTAAAAAAAAAAGGAGAGAGAACTTGGGGGGGGGGGTGTTCTGTGTCTTTGCAATTTAGAAGAGGGAGGTGAGGTGAGGAGAAGCCAGCATCCCCCCCTGTCTTCTGACTGTGTCCCACCACGCCCCACGCTCCTCATCCTCTGCTGGATGGGACAGGGGCGTTGTGGGGGGTCTTGGTGTGTGTGTGGGTGTGTGTGTGGGTGTGTGGAATGGGGGGGGAGGGGCTGGTCCAGCAGACATGTCACTATGTGATTAAGGAGATATGGAGTAGTCTTCAGATAGCTTTTCCAGCCTGTCTTCCACTAACGGACTGCAGTAGTGTAGCTGTTACTTTGGCTAGTTTAGTCTGCATTTTGTAGATTCACAAAAATAAATAAGCGTAGGAAAAAATAAGTATCCAGACATTGGCCTGTGCAAATAGAGATAAGAGAGGATGGAAATGATAATTTGACGAGTGCACGAGCTCGGCTGAAGACCACGTGAGAGCTGAAGGGGGACAGTAGGAGGTCATGTCTGCTGGAGGCCTGGCAGCCC